CACGAATGATTGACAAGTTCAAGGCATGGAATGCAAAAGCCTTGGCTTTCAGTCGGACTGAAAACTCGGATATCACTCACCGTGTTCTACGTAGATCTGTACTCGCCTGACTAACGAGAACATGTGGCACACGATCACTCTCTGTACGCAACACCGACGCCACAGCAGGCCGATCAAAGTGGCCATCTAAATACAAAATTTAGCACATTGATCAAGCACTTTTTGCAGTGAGAGCGACTACTAGAGGCGGGCGGTTGTTGCCTGCTTCACTGGTGGAAGAGCCGGCCTTAGCCCCTACACTTTCAGCTCTTCCACCAAACTGCCTTTCAACGATCAATTGCACCCCATCTGTGACTCAGATACAAGCAGATAAAGCTGGTATTCGTTTTGCTGTAAAGCTGTACTGTTTTTGTGACTGGTGTCATCCAATGACCGAAACTCTTTTGTCGGTTACTGCATGAGACACAGATGCTTGGGTGCGTCAAAGGGACTGGGTTGGACGCAGTGCCAATCCACTTTCCACCAATCGTGGTCACTTACCAGCTTTCACAATTAGTGAAAAACAGCTTGGCGTCGCCCGTGACACGCCTCGCATTCGCAGCAAACGAAGTTTCAACTTTTCCACGGTAAATAACTATGGAGCACTGAGGAGCCTCAGTTGCGGTAGCGGTAACAGTTTCACACTTGATCGCTTCATCACTTTTTAAACAAGAGAGAAAGTGGCAAAATAAGGTGGTATGTGGCAAGACAATCGTAAGATGCCGCGCTGGCGGGCGTGGCGGGCGACGCCGGACCAGTTGCCTTGTCTGACCATTTAAATTTGCGGGTTAAACAGACGAGAAAATTCTATATCAACCGTACTGGAGTCGTGTCTCCGCTGGAATTCACATGAGTTTTGCCACTCGCTTCCACAAACTGATGCATATCGACATTTTTCCACGCATTACGCACCATAGGCGCGAAAAAGTACGATTGTCTTGTACGTTTCCCAAAATCAGAGGACATTCATTCTGGCACCAAGGCGCATCACGCCTGTGTAATCCCCAGCGATGTGGGATGGGGAGGAGGGGTAACATTTTACCGTTGAAAGGGGTGTTTGTCAGCGACAATAAAACCGCTGCAGCTCGTGCTACAGAAATTAACATAAGAATGAGCAAAAGTATTGGTCCCAGGTGGGAAACTCGAACCCTGTGGCTATGGCACAGAAGCTATAAGCTGAGAGCGTAAGAACGGATAGCTCAGTCGCCCGGAAAGCGTGAGGTGCAGGCTCAGGTTTTGTCAGGACTTTGGCCCTAACTCAGCATTCCTGCGACAAATGGAAATTGTCATAAGGTTCTAAGTGAACTGTTTCACACCAGGCCAAAGTGCAATGAAACCAGCGTACGAACTGTCATTTGTGAAAGATTCTATAGCATTCGACCCCCCCCCCCAACTCAAAAATTCTGGAACACTCGTCGTTGACCACGCGCCCTGAATCAGGCAGATACAAGTGTCAGTTCAGAGCAAAGGTCGAAATATGGTTTTCAGACGCAGCACGAGAACTCCAGTTTGTCGAATACACTGAGCGAATCGGAAGAATCGTTCGCTCACAACGCCTGAGTAAGGACTGCCTATCCCCAGAAAAGTACTGGTACAAAAAATGACAAAGAGTCATTTCGCAGCAGTGATACTTTCCAATACTACGATTCGATGAGGGGGAATGTGGGATATATGGCACACTCTTGGGTGGATTACCCAGTGCCGAACAAGACTTTACTCGCTTGTATCAACGTGATTGTGTGTTCTGAAACATGCACGGGTTTTCTATGATGGTGTAGGAACCATATTTCCAAATGACTCGGATTTTTGCACATCCCCGACAGCAACAAAGCTTAATGAATTCACAAGGCGAGCTTAACGTTGTTGCACTTTCCCCTCATTGTCTCCATACTGCGTAGCGCTATTCAATTAACATTCGTCATCTCGGAATAGGCAGCGTTTTGGTGAAAAAAAAATCGTTCCCAGTATATTTCGTTTGAGCGACTACTTACATCTCGCCATAAGTTGGTGGCGTCAGAGTACACTCACGGGCTACAGCCACAATTCTTCCTCTTACAGAAAACATTGAAAGCAATGGAACAAGGAGTTCCCCATTTGAGGACACATCCCACGATTATTCGACGGGTAATCATCCCTTCTCCAGTCCGAATAGATAGGAGGGGGCTAGCTCTTGTAGCTCGACAGTCAGTGCGGGAGCGCTGTAGTCGCCATAAATAAAAAAACGCCACCCGTTGAAACTACCTTATATGGGTTGCATAGATAGTTGTAGGTGTGGTGCATTACCCTGACTCCGTGTAAGACCGACTTTTTCCATTTCGCTTGTCTTCCAGCTCAACTTCCTGTTCTCACACACTCTTTTCTCCGGTCTCTCGCCAACGCAGCAGTGTCTCGTTTCTTGGAATATTCGTCCAATACAGGAACTTATTCTGGACGACTCCACGACCTTTCCACTCTTCTCTTCACTGACATAGACCAGACAGTGTGACCGTACGATCAGGGTTACGCCATCGCGTTGTGATCAGTCCCTGAAAAATTACGATACCCCCCAATTCTATCCTCGATCACGACCCCCTCTCCCCATGCTACCTACCACTTTCCTAGATTTTCCCAACTCCTACCACTTCTTCCCGAAAAACTTTCCAGATTCTCAGCCAAGAATTTTCCGTCGAGCGGGAAGGGGGGGGGGGGGGTATATACCCAATGTAAAACAGGAAAAACGGGAAACAGGAACCCGAAATACCGAGACTGCAGTCTTTAGCAGATAGCCCAGTAGTCTGGTAGGTGTCAGGAGGAGCAAAATGGGTTCGCCCTCA